GAAGATTCTTCTGTGTGTAATCACTGGTGTAAATCACAAGAGAATCAGCCCCAAATATCTTCATGTAAATTAAAACCTGGTGATTTCTGCTCACCTGATGAAGTTACCCATATCATCATCATTTAACATCCACCACATAAAAAATATGTAACTCACCACAGAAAGCTTTCAACCACACGCACGCTGAACTAAGCTTTTTCCCCCCTCTTAATAAATAAAATAGGTGAGAAAATACCCTAAAAATATGGAGGAAATGTAAATGGTGTGTACAGTACATACAGTATAATACATGATGGTTTAATATTTGATCTAAACTGTTCTCCTGACTTGTCAGGGGAACCTGATAAATCACTTGTAAAGAAAAAATGATATTTTATAAACAAACCAGGTATTTTCTCTCTTTCTAATGTAAATTAGAATGTGTGTATTATACATACGGTACACACACACAAACCAGACCTACGTTTTCTAGTTTTGAATATCACTCTGTAAAAGTGGAGAAAACTGTCTGTTATACAAATTTAGTAATCATCTGGATTTTGTATGTAACATTCAAATTAATTTTGGGCGCAAACAAAAACTCAGTGCATCTTGAGACTCTTGAGTCTGATACTCATTCATACATTTTTAAAAAAAAAACCCCTCTCCAACATTGCAGGCAATTTATGGCAACAACATACTTTGATGCACTTCCCATTCAATAAGCAAACATATGACACTTGGCTTACCTTTCAATGACTTTTCTTAAAATAAATATATTATATAGCGAAATGCATGTTTGCCAAAAGTCTGTTAAAATTGCATCAAAACAACTTTAAAACCCATTCACTGAGGATAAGTGAATTCAGTTCCTCTTTTTAAACAACTATGTAACAGTTCAGAATATTGCCTGGTGTGGTTTTGATAAAGATGTGGTGTGAAGAACTATACAGAGAAAACATGTCTCCATTTCAATTTGCTATGACTACACAGCTTCTAAAAACATTTCTCTTGGCTGGGCAAGTTCAACGTAAAGATAATCTCCTTGTAATAGCGCCATATCCTTAACATGATCAATAAACAGTGTTCTCCATTAGCCATTATCACACAAAACTGAAATGCACTGATCATTCAGAAAAGATTTCTTGCAAAATAGGCTAATAAAACATCTTCAAGTAACTGCACATTCTAATTATATTTGATGTTTAATAAGGCCAGACAATAAATGACTGGCTACCTAGATTTAGCTGTGTATGTCAAATTTTAAATTTAAAAATACTTTTTTCTGAGGAACTCACCTGCCTTCATTGGTTGGCTTCAAAATGTGTAATAAAATGGGAGACAGTATCTCATTGTAAATATATGGAATTAATATGGAAAGTAAACCATACACTGGACAATATTATAGAACACCAGAGTGAACTTCATAAAGAAATACAGTATCTTCCAGTATAAAAAAAAGGAAGAACTCTATACAAGCAGTTCTATTAACTATGTTTCAATTAAAGATGCAATTCTCTCTCACTCCTGGCAAGAATTAATTGGTAATGGCACTGTTTCTCAACAGTGCAAAATATCCTGAGAAATTATTAAGATTACAACAAAAGACAGGGCTGTCATCACTAAGTTTTTGCACAAAACACATCAATTAGATATCTTAATTAAATAAAAAAGCAGATAATCTACATTGTGTCTAACACAAAAAGGGGATGTGACCTGGGACACTGCTAATTCTTCCACTGGCTAATAATTAGAAAATCATTGCATTTAATTACTGTTAATATCTTTCTTCAAGTTATTTATGGCCAATAATATACATGGAGGTAATTTGTAATTCAAGTGTTTTCTTTTTTAACTAGCTACAAGATGAATTCTAAATTTTACATTGAAATATACTATTCAAATTTAAAATAGGCCCTCTTGGAGGAGCATTTTTCTAATTTTGTGCAACTTTGATGCAGAGCCCAACATAGTCCTATGAAGAGAGACAGTGCATCTTTAAAATGATTGGCACTGAAATCCCATTTCTTTAGCTGCATTCTATTAGCTTGGCCAGGTTATCTCGTAATTCTGTTAGTTCAAAGATTTTTCCATCAAGAATTTCTAAAAGTGTCTTCAAGTTATTGCGAAAAGCTTCTTGCTCGTTCTGACTTTTCTCCAGACGTTGCTCTAGATCAGACAGCTGTACTTCCAGGTCCTTGTTTCGAATTTCTACTTCCTTCAGAGAAAACATGTAGTATGTTAATGTACTGTTTATAAATAGAATGTAGTTTTCTCTTTCTGCTGTCATTCATGCCTGTCTTAGTTAATACTGGTTTTAAAAGACCACAATTAAATTATTTGCAATCTTTCAGTTACTGCTAACTAAAAAACAGGTTTTTGTTAAAGGCCAATGAGGAGTTTGAAAAAACACTATCTTCCTTTTATCTTCTCAGTAAAACATCCAAGGGACAGGACATTTGGAACAGAGTGATAAAATTATATAGCCACTGAGTGCCATATTGAATGCAAGACATTAACTGAAGTAAATCTGCTATTGTTTCTGATATATAAATATGCCACTTACTGAAAGTGGCTTCTCAAGGGATTATTTTAATCTTAGCCATTCTCCATTTTAGAATACATAGATTACTCAAGGACACACACCCCACCAAATAAAAAGAATGATCTCATATCTTAGACATTACTTCATGTGTGAATGAAAACTATCCCACTGTAAACCCACTGTATATGCTATTTCACACTATACACTGACCTATATAGAGTAAGACTAATATCAAGATCAAGATAACTGTACGAATGTATAAACAACCACAAAATACTAATTACATCTTTTATTTTACTGAAATATATGTTTCAGAGCTTCTCTCTGCTCCTGGGTGCTATTTGAGTAGTTTCTGAGCTGCCGTATATAGAAGCTGTTCCAATAGAACAGTGGGTAGGAGGAGAGACAATGTGTCCGCATCTCAAATGCAGCTCAAGGGGAATTACACCATGGCAAATGTCTTTTCTCATCTTTAAGGCAGAGGAGCAGCCCACAGTTGCTATAGGTCACAGAACATGATGCTGCTCAAATCCGGGCTGTCGGATCAAGATGCAGAACTGTATGCTCGGACCTCTAATCTCTGTGGGTCACGTATTAAAGAGGAGGGCAGCTATAATAAGCTCCATTTTATGCAAATTGCGTGCTGCCCTTGGGCTCCTGACAAGTTATCAACATGAGCCTCATTTGTGTCTGGTGTAGCTTATTGTTATTTGAGTATGTCTCAATTTTAAATTTCAATTATTTAAAAACCTTTTAAAAACAGCACAGGGAGTGTTTATATAATATACCTTCCACTATGAAAAACAGTTTTCAGGAAACGGACAAGAAAAATTATTTAGATATTTATCTATAAACATTTTTTCATCATTTTGTGGGCTACTTGGACTTCCCCTCGTTCCTCCCATCTCCCAGAAACCCAGCTGCCCTTTCAGCAGCACTCTGTGACAGAACAGTCACTTTCAACTCAGTTGCATTTTATCAAATTAAATTTGGAATATTTAATAGTTCCCATTTTAGGATTTACGATGACTGGTTTCAAGCTGCTGCTGAAAAGCACTTTGAGACGGGGATAATTTATAGTGGCCACTTTTTCTCCTCCTGTGTGTCCTCCTCTCCCCTGCAGCTGCCTCAATTCACCACCTCCCCTCTCTGCACTGCCTGTTACCATTTCCCCTCCTCCCACACTCACTTAACCTAACAACTGTACTAATGTTTTCCATTGATATGGGCCCAGCCATACACCAGTGGGAGCTGGACGAGGACAATAAGCACCCACCTATGATGGGGCACCGAGTGGCTCAAAGCTACCCTAAAGTCAATGTAATCAGCTTCTCACTGCACTGGGAAATCCTTGGGTGGTGCAGATAACTGTATTGGCTCCTACACCGTCCCACCTCTTGACTACTGGTCACGGAGTGCAACTTGGGGAAAGGTGATGTGGCCAAAGCCCCTCAAGGCCCAAAGAACAGCCCCTGGAGCATGTGGCAGAAAGCACAGATTTCAGCAGCCCTTATGGGCCAGAAAGCCGCAGGATCAAGGAATCACAAAGGAGGCTTAAAACCACACTTACATGTATGCACAGCAACCCACCCTACGTGAGCATGTGGTCATGGGTTACATTAAAGTTAAACTAGAACCCTGTGCTTGCTTTTCATTTGTAAACAGATATGAGTATTAAAAAATCTTAACAAATCACTGGGTTTTGATTATTGTGTCTTGTACAAAACCCTATGACCCCCTTGCTCTCGGGGTCCACAGCAGAGTGCTTTTAGTCTGTTTATAACTGAATACGATAGTTCTGGAAGTACTTAGAAGGGAGAATTGACTGAAAAAGATGCATTTCAGATTTATTTATACTAAATGGCATTGCTTGGAGCACTTGGCATTGCTTTGTAGGCTCCTATTATTACTAGGTATGTAAGAATTGGCATAACAGAACAGACCAATTGTCCATCTTTGAATCCATATCTGTGCTAAATTCTATTGCCGTGCTCTTTAGTGTTTACACCTGTGCTGTGAAATGTGTAAAACTGTACCAAATTACAGGTAAATGATTACACAAATGCAATGTAGTAAAGAATCAGCCCCCCTTTATCCAGATCATCAGTGACATATGCCTAAAAAGAAGGTGTTAACTCTTTAAAATTTTCTTAGCTGCACAATGTCTATTTCTTCTTTCCAAAGTGGAACTGATTGCTGCTCTTTCTCCTCTTGTCTTTCTGACCTCCTGGCAGAGCCCCTTCTCCATTTCCCAATGCTACATGCAGTGGGATGTCTTCCTTAATTCCAAGATCTTAACATGCTGTAAGCAGGGAGAGCAAGAGGATGTACTAGAACATTTTTCATATCTAATGATATTCATATAGATGGATGTGTGAATATCATCTAAATATTAGTAACCCTGAATATGTACATCATCCAGGTCTAAATAATGGCTGATTTGCCTATATCTAATATTGAACACCTTCCTCAATCTAGTCCAAAGTCCAACTGCTTTTACAAAGTAAGGAATTTTTATCTAATATCTAGCATAAACATTCCTTTCCTTACTGTGCCCTTGCTCCTTGTCCTAATATCTTCTGAGAATATGAATACTTACTTTCTTTCATTTAAATTATCTTGTGGGTACTTACAGACTGTATTTAAGTCCCTTTCTTGTCTTCTCTTTTCTAAACTATACACAGTTAGCTCCCCAAATATTTCCTCATATATATTTTCCTTCAATTCTTGCATCGTATTTGTTTCCCTTCTTTGTATTTAGTATACTTAATAATCTGCAGGAAACAGAACTGCATGCAATATTCTAGCTCCTGTTACAGAAGTGTTATGAAAATGTTATCTCCCTAGCTTTACATACAACCTTCCTATATATACACCCCAAAGAATAGCACTAGCATTTTTGGCACAGGTATTGCCTTGCAAGTTCATATTTAGTTTAGTGTCTGCTATTACAACTAGGTCTTTCTCACACTTGTTGCCTTCCAGATAGCTGTGTCTCTCCGTTCCTATCTGTAGGTATGAGATTTAACTTTATTAGTAATGAATCTCATCTTGTTATAATCAACTCACTCTTCCGATCTCTCCAGGTCCATTTGCAGCTATATTCTGTCCTGTGTTTTTGAGCTCCTCCTATAATGGTACTGTGATTAATTTTTTAATACATTTTTATTCTAAATGAAAAAAATATTAATACAACAAATAGTGTTTGTTGTTTTCATCATAATAAAGTCCTGTGGATCTTAGTGCAAGGTATGTAGTAAACAGATCAGAATTAAATAAATATACATGTTTTGAGTAAAAGCTATATTTATGAATCTGCTATTCTAATAAAGGAATACTTACTTATTGTGAGCTTATGTGATCATGGCTGATTGCGTATGCTTTCTCTACATTATTAATGAAAATATTAACTAACAAGGCTCCCGATACTTACCCCTCTACTGTGATAGCTTATTTGATACTGTTCCCCATTGTAGTTCTTACCATTAATGGATTACTCTCTGTTTCATTCCTGTTCATCAATAGATTTTTATCTAGTTGATATGCAGGACAATGTGATATACTTTATTTTGTATAGCCTTTTTTATACAAGCTGTATTCAAAACATTTTAGAGGAACACAATACATTAAATTGAAAATAAAAAATAAAAGAGAGAGGAGAGAAATGAACGGTTATGCAGAAAGGAGAAAACATCTGTTTTTAGACAAGATCTGAAAACAGGTGATGGATCAGAGACTCACAGAAATGTAGGGCTGGAAGGGACCTTGAGAAGTCACCAAGTCCAAACCCCTTTGCTGAGGCAGGACCAAGTAAACCTAGACCATCCCTGGCAGATGTTTGTCCAACCTGTTCTTAAAAACTTCTAAAGATGGAGAGTCCACAATCTCCCTTGGAAACCTAGTCCAGAGCAGAGCTACATAGTTAAAGCTTTTCCTCCTAACATCTAACCTAAGGGTATGTCTTCACTAGCAATGTTAAAGCACACCAGCTGTAAAAAACCACCCCCACAAGGGGAGTGACTACCAATGCTGGGAGCGTGGCTCCCAGCGCTGGTGCACTGTCTACACTGCCACTTTACAGCACTGAAACTTGCAGTGCTCGGGGGCGGCTACTGGGAGCTGGGGGCGGCCGTGCCTGTGGACGGTCAATAATATATGGGGATATACCTATCTCATAGAACTGGAAGGGACCCTGAGAGGTCATCAAGTCCAGCCCCTGCCTTCACTAGCAGGACCAAGTACTGATTTTGCCCCAGATCCCTAGGTGGCCCCCCCTCAAGGATTGAACTCACAACGCTGGGTTTAGCAGGCCAATGCTCAAACCACTGAGTTATCCCTCCCCCCTCCCGCTTAGCCTGACGTGCCACATGTGGTAGGTTGCCAACTACCAGGGGTGAAAGTAACTTAAAGGAATTACCGGTATGCCGGAGTCCAGAGCGGGGGTGTGGCCTCAACCGGAAGAGGCGGGGCCGTTCAAGATTTAAAGGCCCTGGGGCTCCAGCTGTGGCTGGGAGCCCCAGGGCCTTTAAATCACCCCGGAGCTACCAGCTGCAGAGGCGGCTGGGAGCCCCGGGGCTCAGGAGTGAATTAAAGGGCCCGGGGCTCCGGCCACCGCGGAGCTCTGGGCCCTTTAAATCACCACAGGAGCCCGGCTGCCAGAGCTCCGGCGGGGATTTAAAGGGCCTGGAGCTTCCCGCAGTGGCTGGAGCCCTGGGCCCTTTAAATCCCTGCCACGGAAGTCGGCCCAGTCCAGCCCGGCATACTGGCTCTTGCCAGTACGCCATACCGGACCGGACCGGCTTACTTTCACCTCTGCCAACTACTACACTTGTCTGTTTTGAATTTCATCTTGTTGATTTCAGACTAATTCTCTAATGTGTCAAGGTCATTTTTAATTCTAATCCTGTCTTCAAAGTGCTTGCAACCCTCCCAGGTTGGTGTCATCTCCAAATGTTATAAGCATACTCTCCACTCCATTATCCAAGTCATTAATAAAAATATTTAATAATACCAGACCCAGGACTGACTCCTCATAGAATCATACAAGATTAAGTTTGGAAGAGACCTCAGGAGGTCATCTAGTCCAATCCCCTGCTCAAAGCAGGACCAGCCCCAACTAAATCATCCCAGCCAGGGCTTTGTCAAGTCAGGTCTTAAAAACCTCTAAGGATGGAGATTCCACCACCTCCCTAATTAACCCATTCCAGTGCTTCACCACCCTCCTAGTGAAATATTTTTTCCTAATATACAACCTAGACCTCCCCCACTGCAACTTGAGAACTAAAATTCAGAGGGATCTTGATAAATTGGAGAACTGGGCTATAGACAACAAAATGAAATTCAACAAAGACAAACGTAAAGTGCTACACTTAGGAAAGAAAAACCAAATGCACAAATACAAACTGGGGAAGAGGGGGTAACTGGCTTGGTAGCAGCTGCTGAGAAGGATCTGGGAGTTGTGATGGATCACAACATCAACATGAGTCAGCAACGCGATGCTGTTGCAAAAAAAGTAAATGCATTTAGGTTGCATTAATAGATGCATAGCATGCAAGTCACAGGAGGTGATAGTACTGCTCTACTTGGCACTGGTTAGGCCTCAGCTGGAGTAGTGTCCCATTTTGGTCACCAATTTATAGAAAGGATATAGAGAAACTGGAAAGGATCCAGAGGCAAGTGACAAAGATGATCAAAGGGATGAAATGCACGCCATATGAGAGCAAAGGCAGAAGGAATTGGGCATGTTTAGTTTGAAAAAGAGAAGATTAAGGGGGACATGATAGCAGTCTTCAAATACTTGAAAGGCTGCCATAAAAGAGATGGAGAACAGTTGTTCTCTCTTGCCACACAGGGCAGGACAAGAGGAAATGGGTTCAAACTACAGCATAGCAGATATAGATTAAATCTCAGGAAAAACGTCCTAATTGTAAGAGCAGTAGGACAATGGAACAGACTGCATAGGGAAGCTCTTTCATTATAAGTTTTAAAAAGGAGGCTGGAGAGCCATCTGTCTTGGATGGTTTAGACACAACAAATCCTGCATCTTGGTGGGGGTTAGATTAGATGATCCTTGCAGTCCCTTCTTACCCAATGGTTCTATGATTCTAACAGATACAGAAAAAGGCAATGCAAGCCTCTTCCTTGCCCTGTCTACACATTTCAATCTATATCTGTAGAGACCTATTCTAGGAATTCGATATGGGCCCAAGAGAGACAATTCAGATACAAATTTCAAAGCTCCTAAATTTTGGAGGTGTTTGAACACAGGGTCTTAGTTAATGCCCATCTCTGCTCAAAATAAAAGAATAGTTCAGTCACCAACTACATCTGGGCTTCTGCTGAGTCTGCCATAGGGTTTTCAGTTAAAGGGACAGACTGAGGCCACCGATTCATTTTACACAGGACTACTGAATTGTCATACTAATGATTTTCAAATTGGGGCTAAATTTAAACTGACTGAGAGATGAAAGGCTCCATGTTCCATTTCCAGTTTGCGGAGGCATTCAGCTCTAAAAACAATTTTCACAAACAAAACAAACACACCCCGATAAGACCCCCCAACCCAAATCCTGGGTTTAGAGACTCCTGAGAGAATGTTAAGAATTGTTGAGTTATTCAAACCAACAAGGAATAAAGAGATACTGTACATATGGACACTTTAAAATCAGAGTACAGTTGCAATTTGATCTAGATTCATCCCAGTGTGTGCTAAAGAACCTGATGAAGGCACTCAATGGCAGCAGGTCTGCCAGACAGGGCCGGCTCCAGGCACCAAATGAGCAAGCAGGTGCTTGGGGCAGCCAAGGGGAAGGGGCGGCACATCGGGCTCTTTGGAGGAGGGTCCCTGTCCCTCTCGGAGGGAAGGACCTGCCGCCAAATTGCCGCCGAAGAAGAAAGCGGCACAGTGGAGCTGCAGCCGATCACGATCGAGGCTTTTTTTTTTTCCCCCCGCCGCTTGAGGCGGCAAAAACCCTGGAGCCGGCCCTGCTGCCAGAAAGGCCTGAGAGAAGCCAAGAAGTGCTCAAAATGGGAACAGTGTTGACCAGTGAAGGAATGTGGCCAGAGAATGCATTAATGTGGTGCATCTCCTAAGCAGCTTCCACTACAGTGGCTTCTATGGAGCTCCAGCTGCAACTTAAAACTGCTCCCCTATGGAGCAGTTAGGTCAAATGGCCCAAGGGAGGGCAAATGGCAATTTGGTGTGAATTCCCCCTGGAGGACATGGGGTCCAGACTGGTTCATGGAGGCGTAAGTTACTCCTCTCTCTGCCAGTTTGGGTGAACCTAGCCAGGAACAAATAAGCTGCACATATGATAAATATAAGTGTCTGCCTATTGCCCATTTTCCTTTTTCTCCTACATCTAAATTAATATATATATAATACTGACGCTTACCTGGAGCTTCTGGGTCAAAGCATCCCTCTGTGCCTGAAGCTCTCTGGCATTATCAATTTCTTGTTTCAATCTTTCTATTTCCTGAGGGAGCAAAAACAATTCCTTTAACAACATATTACCGGATCTTAACTCAGTGCAAATAAGCCACTTATTCTCTTCCTGGCCAAATCATTCCAATTATACCAAAACTGACACTGAGCAGCTGCTTATCTTGACACTTCGCGTGTGGAGTTCAACCCCCCCCCGGCACACACTAATAGTATGGAATCAGCAACTTCTGTAATTTATTCATCTGCATGTTAGACATTCATACACCAACAATGAGCAATTCCATCTTGAAAAGTGTAATAACTCAAACAACATATTTGCCATCAACGTTTAACCTTTGTGGAGTTTCTCTTACTCTCCCACCCCAGCAAGGCTGGAATATTTTTTCTGGAAAATTGAGGGTCATGGTAATTAAAAGTTCAATCCTGGTCTGTATTTATTTTTAAAAAATATTTTAGTGTACACTAATGTACTCCTCCTCCTTTTCAAAAGAGAAATCCAGACTTCAGTGGGGAGCTGCTTCCTATATCATTAGCAAGGGATGAAGCCAGCAGCGGCAAGAGAGAGGGAACAGAAATTGCCTGAACACAAAGTTCTGACCACTGACTGCCATATGAAGAGAGACTGATAAGAATGGTGTTTTTAGTTTAGAGAAAGTATGAGGGGATGAAGGTGATAAAGGTATACAAAATAAACGGTATAGAGATTAGATCAGACATTTCTGTTCACTCATTCTCATGATACAAGAACAAGCAGTTAGTCAATGAAATTGAAAGGCAGCAACTTTAAAACTGATAAATATTTCCCCCACAATGCACAATTACCCTGTTGACCAATTTGCCACAAGATATCACTGAGGCCAAGAGCTTAGCAGGAATGAAAGAAGGACTGGATATTTACATGGCTAACAAGAGCATACAGAATTACAATAGTAAGGATTAAAAAACAACAGGAAAAAAGAAACCAATACACATCCCCACATCTCAGGACACAAGCCGATCTCTTACAGGAGTTAGGAAGAAACTTACCCTGTGGGGAAGTTATTCCATAACTGCCAATGTCCGGGTTTCTTGCACTTTCTCTTAAACATCTGGTGCTGGCCACTGTTGGAGACTACTGGTCTGATCAAGTATGGCAATGCCAATGTTCCTATATACTGCTCGTTATAGAATCTTTGGTAATGGGGGAGCCACAAAAGCCAATTCCCACCATAGTCAGCTCCCTTCCCCCTAGTATCCTCCCCCTTCAATATAGGGACAGTTAGCTATCCCTTTTGGGGGTGGGTGTGCTTCACTTTGGGGCAGCACAGGTGGCTTCTCTAATTCCCCATACCCTCCTACTGCTGGCCCAGACCCTGGCTGACGGCACAATAAGCAGCACTGAGTAGGGGGTGGAGCTTATTTAGAAGAAAGGGGCAGGGCCCTCAGGACCCCAAAATCAGCTATGTTAAAATAATCTTAACTCATAAAGATTGGTTTGTTTCTCACCACGAACTCACTTCCCCAATAAAGGAAAGCAGTGCTTATAGCTGCTTTTTAAAATAAATACTTGCACTGACATTGCTTGTCTATAAATGGGATTCACAGTGCTTCATTTTGACTGCTGCTGTGAAGAAATGCTGCATGCTTCAGTGCATGCTTCCTTTTGCAAAGAAAGGTACTTGGGAAGAGTGAACAGAAAAATGCAGATTTTTGGCTCAGATACACTAAAATCCACACAATAGCTGTGATTGACAATCTGTAAGAAAATGTATTAGCCTCAAAAAGGCTAAAAAATGGATTCTTCTTACTTTAGTCCACACAGAAATTACCTCTGTGCTCACAAACAGATTTAAGATTACATTACAAACTGTTATAAATAATATGATTTTTAAAGCCACTTTAAAATGTTATGAATAACGTTAGCAAATACCTCTTCTTTCTTCTTCAGTGTGGATTCTAATTCCTGTATTGTCTGGTTTAATTCTGTTTTATGTGTATGGACTGCATTTGCTTGACTGCTCACACACTCCAGCTCAGTCACCTGTAGAAATAAATGTCAGCAATAAATATAAAATTAAGTGACAACGTGAAGAATTACAAGGTGCTATTGCCTCTTTGCATTAACACTTACATCTGAAATATACATCTGTTGAAATATACTTATTAACTCTAAAAAATATATATACAGATTAAAATGCTGAAAATATTTTTGTAAAATATTAGTATAAAATTCTTTACCCAATTGTTTTGTATAATATTTCCCTCCTCTGAAATTTTAAATGTTGTTGCAATTTCCGATAACTGAAAAATATTGGTTCTGTAGTCTGAAAAAAGCCCCTTTTGCTTGAAAATGTGCACTTAGTAATTTTGAAAATGTTCAGGGAAGAAGAGGCATTATCTCTCTAGAGTCAACATGGTCTAGAGGACTGATCACAGATTTGTCTAATCTGATCTATATAATCTATCCATTGAAAGTTTTTAATATTGCATCATGTTAATCAATGCCCACCCAGTCCTCCAAAAAGCAACTACAATTTCTCAGACTGAATTTCTGAATTTGCATGCAAGGTGTAGTGCTGCATACTTACCTACCAACACATGGCTGCAGACATTTAACTCCTTTATATTTTCAGATCTCACCTTTAGGCCAGTGGCTAAATGGCACATTTTGGTACTATACAGTTCCCTTTATTAGCAGACAGAGTGCTATGTCCATCTGTCTTTGGATGAAACGCATAGCAATGGCATGTACAATTTCGATTTGAAGAGATGCTAATATGCCTGTTGCTATACACAGACAAATGATCCTTGAGAGAACAATGGGTAACATTTTGTATATCCATGAATTATATTCTATACTATCATATTCTACTTAGAAACATTGTTGTTCATAAATCATTGAGAACACTGATGGAGCCATTATGTTTTCTATCAATCCAGCTCTTGTATGTGTGAAGTAAGCTAAAAATATATTATGAATAATAAATAAAATGTTACTGAAAAATATTACTGCACAAAGCCCAACAACTCAGTTTTCTAAATAAATTATTTCCCTCTGAAGCTTAAGGCTCTAATTTTCTTTAAAGACCATAATTACAAAAAGTCTGCTTAATTACAGATACGATGTGCTCCTGATTTGCATGAAGCATCTTTTAAAAGGGCCAGATTTTCAGCAGTTTAAAATGAAGGTTACTTATTTGTAACCAGAGTTCTTCAAGATGAACTCTGCCTATTCACACTCATCGGTTGTGCTGGCTGGTGCAGCCTGAACAGTGGAGCTTTCTCCTAGCAGTCTCCGTTAAAGGGACACTTCCCTCAGTGTTCCTGAATATTCTGACAGAAAGACTATAAAAAGTGGAAGGAACTGCTGCTGCTTCAGTTCCTTCCACCCCTGTCTCAGAGGTAGATTTTATTAGGACTGTGAGGAAGAGTGGGAGGGGGTGGAGATTGTGACTATCCAGAGCCCATCTCAAAGAACTCTGGTTACAGGTAAGAACATAAGAACAGTCATACTGGGTCAGACCAGTGGTCCATCTAGCCCAATATCATGTCTTCTGACAATGGCCAATGTCAGATGCTTCAAGGGGGATGAAAAGAACAGGGCAATTATCAAGTGATCCATACTCTGTTGTCCAGTCCCAGAGGCTTAGGGACACCCAAAGCATGGGGTTGCCTCCCTGACTATCTTGGCTAACAGCCATTGATGTACCTTGTGACAGGTTGGATCACAGAAACCCCCTTGGGGCTGCCAACTGATGTGCCATGACTACTTCTGCCCCTGCTTTCCCTGCCAGCCTGGGACTCCAGCACCCTGCTCCAACACAGACCCAGGGTCTGAATTACTTGCCCCAAAGCTGCAGGCTTAGCTGAAAGCAGCTTACAGAAGTGTTCCTGTCTTTAACACTCAGATGCCCAACTCCCAATGGGGTCTAAACCTTATACAGTGTAAACTCATGAATTTGTTCGCCCTCTATAACACTGATAGAGAGAGATGCACAACTGTTTGCCCCCCTCCCCCCAGGTATTAATACATACTCTGGGTTAATTAATAAGTAAAAAGTGATTTTATTAAATACAGAAAGTAGGATTTAAGTGGTTCCAAGTAGTAACAGACAAACCAAAGTGAATTAACAAGTAAAATAAAATAAAACACACAAATCTAAGTCTAATACAGTAATAAAACTGAATACAGATAAAATCTCACCCTCAGAGATGTTTCAATAAGTTTCTTTCACAGAATGGACGCCTTCCTAGTCTGGGCACAATCCTTTCCCCTGATACAGCCCTTGTTCCAGCTCAGGTGGTAGCTAGGGGATTTCTCATGACTGCAGCCCTCACTTTTGTTCTCTTCCATCCACTTATATATCTTTTGAATAAGGTGGGAATCCTTTGTCCCTCTGGGTTCCCACTCCCCCCCGCGTCTCAATGGAAAAGTACCAAGTTAAAGATGGATTCCAGTTCAGGTGACATGATCACATGTCACTGTAAGGCCTTGGCTACACTCGGGACTTCACAGCACTGCTGTGGCAGTGCTGCCGCGGCAGTGCTGTGAAGCGCGAGTATAGTCGCGCCGCCAGCGCTGCGAGAGAGCTCTCGCAGCGCTGTATGTACTCCACCTCTCCGAAGGGAATAGCTGCGAGCGAGCGTGCAGCGCTGCAGGCTTTGATTACACTGGTGCTTTACAGCGCTGTACTCGTTGCGCTCAGGGGGGTGTTTTTTCACACCCCTGAGCGCAGCAAGTTGCAGCGCTGTACACCGCCAGTGTAGCCAAGTCCTAAGACTTCATTACCCACTTGCCAGCAAACACGTATACAGGAAGACTTACAAGTAAAACAGAGCCATCTACAGACAATTGTCCTGGTTAATGGGAGCCATCAAGATTCCAAACCACCATCAATGGCCCACACTTTGCATAATTACAATAGGCCCTCAGAGTTATATTTTATATTTCTAGTTTCAGATACAAGAGTGATACATTTATACAAATAGGATGACCACACTCAGTAGATTATAAGCTTTGTAATGATACCTTACAAGAGACCTTTTGCTTGAAGCATATTCCAGTTACATTATATTCATACTCACCAGCATACTTTCATAAAATCATATAGAGTGCAACGTCACATACCTATCATCCATGAATTTATCTAATTCTTTTTTGAACCCAGTTATAATTTTGGCCTTCACAACATCCGCTGGCAATGAGTTCCATTGGTTGATTGTACATAACCTTCATTTCTTCTTTGAATGTCCTCTACATATTTCCACTCATGGCATAGTTTGGAAAGCAGTACTCCATAAATGGGAGGTGGAACTCAGTGTCCTAATTAAATAAGGACTGAAGTACAACTCTACCAAACTGGGTGTCTACTCAAGGTGCCAGAACTAACATGTAATGTTAAGTAAAAGTATGTACAGTGCTCCAAGTGGCAGCCCTACATACCTTCCAAACTGGCACATGTCTAAGACATGCCAAGGATGTAGCCATTGCTCTAGCAGAATATGATATAATCCAGCAGGGGGAGAATAGTTGCTAATCTGTAGCTTTCCTGAATACACTGTCTCAACCCATTTAGATATTGTTTGTGTCGAGACAGCCTGTCTGCATAGGGAAAAAAGAGATTTAGGAAGCCTGTGAAATTCCTTAGTCTTACTCAGATAATAAGCTAGGGTTCTCTGAGCATCCAAAGTATGTAACCTCGATTCGCTCTTGTGACTGTGAGAAATAAAACTGGTAAATTTACTGTTTGATTAATGTGAAATTTCAACACTAAGTAAAAATACTGGGTTAGGACAAAGCACCACCCTTATATTTGTGAAAAATAGTGAAAATTGGTCCAGTCACAAGGGTATGTAACTTGCTCACTTGCCCAGCTGAAATTATAGCTGTTATAAAAGCAGTTTTAATAGACTATAGAATAGAGAATAGAGAGCACTCTGCCTAAGGCTCAAAAGGCAACTTTATGAGTTGCGCTAAGACTTAATTGAGATCCCATGGTGGAATTGAGTCTTTTACAGGTGGTTACAAATTGGAAAGTCCTTTCATATATGTCTTGACCATACTGTGCGCAAAGTCAGATGTATTGTCTACAAAAATGGTATGCTGATATAGCTGCTACCTGGAGCCATAAAGAGGAAACTGACAGATCTGAAACCTTTAACTGAAATAAGTATTCCAGAATTGGTGTTAATACTGGTTCTGATTTGTTATGCATTCAGTTTACAAACCTCAGTTATTTAAGGCGAAAACATTTTCTGGTAGATTGTTTTATAATTGAGTAGCACCTGTTGCACTTCTGAAGGACAAGATGTTTTAAAGTCTGTTAAAATCCTATAGCCCAGGCAGTCAGATGTAGAGATAGAGTATCCAGATGGTAAATCCCGCCCTATTGTTCCAACAATAAATCTGGTAATGCTAGAATCAGTCTGTGAACTCAATAGCAGCAGTAGGTTGGTGTACCATTGTTGCCCCAGCCATGCTGGAGCAACTAAGATTATTTTGGTTCTTTATTGTCTTATCTTTTTCAATAATTTATGCATTAATGGCAAGTGTACAGCAGGCCTTTTCCACAACTCAGGAGAAACACATCCAATATGGATTGGGTATCCTTTCTTGCTCTTGAACAGAATTAGTGACACTGTGTTGCGTCTGGTGGCAAATAGATCTTTATCTGGACATCCCCAGAGGTTGAAGATGTTGCGTATTAGTTTCTTCTTTACTGATCATTTGTGTAATTGCATCATGTCTCTCCGTAGTTGATCCACCAGTCATTGTGCTTTCCCATCAGGTGAAAGGGCTATGGGAAAAATGTTGTGCTGGACACACCAATCCTGCAACTTGATTGCCTCCCTGCACAATTGAGATGAATAAACTCTGCCTTGTTTATTGACATCATACATGACTAACTACCTTCCCTTTGATGTGAGGTAGAAAAGATTTGGCAGCTAGACATATCTCTCTCAACTCTAATGTGTTTATGTGTAGACTCTTTTCCTGAGAGTTTTAGTGTCCTCAAACTGATAGAGAGTTGAGATGATCCC